AACTCAAGGCTTAAATTTTTTCCTCAGTTCTTTCAGCTTGAGAAATGCTGAGCATGTTCTTTCCTTTTGGTTTTCTAACTCCAGGTCTTTGCACATTTCATTATAGTAATTGGCTTTGTCTGCTCGAGCTGCTCTTGAAATCTTCTGTTCAGCTCTCTTATCTTGTCATTTCTTCCACTTGCTTTAGCTACTCTTTGCTCAAGGGCAAGTTTCAGAGTCTCTTCTGACATCCACTTTGGTCTTTTCTTTCTTTCTCATATTTTTAATGACCTCTTACTTTCTTCATGGATGATGCTCTTGATGTTATCCCACAATTCTTCTGGTTTTCAGTCATTGGTGTTCAAAGCATCAAATCTATTCTTTAGATGGTCTCTAAATTCAGGAGGGATATATTCAAGATCATATTTTGGCTCTCATGGACTTGTTTTAATTGTCTTTAACTTCAAGTTGAACTTGCATATGAGCAGTTGATGGTCTGTTTCACAATCAGCTCCTAGCCTGGTTTTGGCTGAAGATATTGAGCTTTTCCATCACCTCTTGCCACAGATGTAGTCAATCTGATTCCTGTGTACCCCATCTGGTGAAGTCCACGTGTATAGCTGCTGTTTGTGTTGTTGAAAAAGGTATTTGCAATGAATAAGTTGTTGGTCTTGCAAAATTCTATCATGCGTTCTCCAGCATTATTTCCGTCACTAAGGCCAAATTTTTCAACTACCAGTGATTGTTCTTTGTTTCTAACTTTTGCATTCCAATCACCAGTGATAAACAACACACCCTGATTGCATATCCGGTCAATTTCAGACTGCAGAAGTTGATAAAAATCTTCAATTTCCTCATCTTTGGCTTTGGTGGCTGGTGCATAAATTTGAATAATAGTCATATTAATGGGTCTTCTTTGTAGGCAGATGGATATTGTCCTATCACTGACAGCATTGTACTTCAGGACAGATCTTGAAACATCCTTTGTATGATGAATGCCACGCCATTCCTCTTCAATTTCTCATTTTTAAAATAGTATATCATATGGTTGTCTGATTCAAACTGCCTAAAACCCATCCATTTCAGCTCACTAATGCCTAGGATATCAATCTTTATGCATTCCATTTCATTTTTGACAACTTCTAATTTTCCTAGATTCATACTTTGTACATTCCATGTTCTGATGATTAATGGATGTTTGCAGCTGTTTCTCCTCAATATGAGTCACGCCACCTCAGCACATGGAGCTCCTGAAAGACTTACTTAATCCATATCATTAAGGTTGTTTCTACTCTAATGAGGCAGCTCTTTCCCAGTCCTATTTTGAGTCCCTTCCAATCCAAGGGGCTAGTCTTCCTGTACTGTGTTGAACACTATTTCCAAGCTATTCATAAAGTTGCCCAGTAATGTGTCAGACAGTGTTTCTCTGTTATTCATAAGGTTTTCCATGGCCAATTTTTGAGAAGCGGATGGCCTCCTCCTTCTTCCTAGTCTGTCTTAGTCTGTAAGCTGCGTTGAAACCTGTGCACCATGTGCAACTCTGCTGGCTTCTGAAACACCAGTGGCACAGCCTCAAGCTTCACAGCAAAGTACAATCCTCACAGGATGACAGACTGACAGACAAGTTTGTCTCCGTTAGCTGTTGGAAACCTCTGCATCCTCCTCTTACCTAATTCCTATCTGAAACCGGCCACTCTGTCGTCCCCAGCCACTCCTGGCCCCTCCCTTTACTGGCTCTAGGGGGCTTGGGGCCTAGCCTTGCCTCCTGCCCCTTTTTACCTGGATATCCTGCCACTTCTGATGTCCCTGAGGCCACTCCTTGTCCCTCCCTTTCCTGGCTCTAGGGGGCTTGGGGCCTAGCCTTGTCTCCTGCCCCTTTTAACATTAATGCTAGCTAACATTTATTGAGCACTCATTATCTCATTACATCCTCATACCAGCCCAAAATGAAGTGATATATATATTTTTTATTTTTATAGATGAAGACACAGAGAGCATGCTTAGGTAATTTATACAGGTTTCTACAATTATTATCCCAGGGGCTGAAACCAATGCTCTCTAATCACTTCTACAAGTCCACTCTCAACAATGCTTTCGGGTCAAGACAACATTGGTAGAGAGAATTAGGTCATTTATTCACTCACTCATTTACTCATTCACTTATAAATCCAGCCAACAGAAGTATGGAAAGTATCTACCATGCAGGCAGCACTGTGAAAGGTTCTGAACGTAAAGAGACAATAAGAACACCTGCTTTCAAAAAACTCATAGATTACAATGAGGTAATAAGATCAAACTTATTATAGAGTGTTCAAACTCATGGGGGTGGTGTGTGTGTGTAGGTTTTATTGCGAAAAGTCTTTGACTCAAAGCAGTGTCAACCTAATTTGATTTTTCCATCAAAGCCAGAATCAAAATGGTGTTGGAGAAAGATCAGCAGATCTGTCCTTTCTGGAGACTGTGGATGTGACAGACACTTCTTGTGCCTGCCATTCTTCTGGCCTTCTCTGTATTCCAGGTGACTTCCAATGACCACTATCCGTAGTTCTTTGCCTGAGGGCTTTTTTTTTTTTTGTACCCTAAGGAGGCTGCTCTGCCTGGACTCACTGGAGGCTGGAAATGGCAGGGCATTAACTCTCCACCAGTGACCACATGGATTAGTTTCCTGTTGCTGCTGTAACATATTGCCACAAACTTAGTGTCTTCAAACAACATCAATTTATTGCCTCAATTTCTGGAGATTTGAAGTCCAAAAAGAGTCTCACTAGGGTAAAATCAAGGTGTCAGTAAAGTTGTGCTCAAGGCTCTGGAGAATTCTTTTCCTTGCCTTTTCCAGCTTCTGGGTGCTGCCCACATTCCTTGGCTCACATTCTCCACCATCTTCAAAGCCAGCAATGGCTGGTCAAGTCTTTCTCATATCACATCACTCTGGCACTGATTCTTGTGCCTCCCTCTTCCATATTTAAGGACCCTTATAATTATAACTGAAAGGTTGGAGATTCAAGTCTGCCCAGAGGCACCTTGGAAGAAAGTCTTGGTGATGTACTATTGAGAAGTCCGCTGTTGAAAATCTTATGGCGTACAGGTTTATCCCAACACACATGGTGTTGCAATAGTTCAACTCAATGACAACTTTTTTTTTTTTTTGGTTATACCCTTTCCTCACTTATTGACTATCTTGTCATCCAACATTTCAGATTTATGACCATAGTAAAACACCTACAATCTGACTATTTTTCACATTAATGAAGTATGTCTGGCACTAATGAATGCTGAGGTAGAAGGTGAGAGTAATATTGGCTGTGATGGTTAAGGTTATGTGTCAGCTTGGCTGGGCCATGATTCTTAATGGTTTGACAGTTATGTAATGATGTAGTTTGGTAGTTATGTAATGATAAAGTCATCATTGATTTTGTGATCTGATGTGGCCATCCTCCATTTTCACAAAAAGCTAATTTTCCCATAATAACCTGGTCTTTGGAACCTAACCATGTTGATAAGTGAGGAGAGGATGTACATTGGGCCCACTCAGGTAATCCAGGATTTGCTGTTATTGTTAGTTGCTCTCAAGATGGCTTCCAACTCCTGGCAACCAGGTCAGCTAATTAGCCACTTCAATCCCATCTGCTACTATAATTTCCTCTTGCCAGGCAATGTAACATATTCACAGGTTCCAGGGATTAGAATCTGGACATCTTTGTTGTTATTGTTAGGTGCCATTGGGTCAATTTTGACTCATAGTGACCCATGTAACAAAGTAGAACTGCCCATAGGGCTTTTTAGGCTGTAATATTTATGGGACAGATCTCCATGTCTTTCTCCTGTGAAGTTGCTGCGTGGGTTGGAACCACCAACCTGTTGGTTGGGAGTTTAATAGTTGTCACATCAGAAGTCCTTCTTGGACATCCTTAATTCTGCCAATTACACCATGTCTCCCTCTCTCGTTGGGTGAGCTAACTCCAAGATGTGTGTTCTTCACTGACTCCTAGTGGTACTGGACTCACAGAGGTACTGGATGAATAACATACTCTTTCTTTACCCTGTGTCACTTCCTCACACCCTTAGTGTTTCCTGGGATCACCTCTCAAACCACTTGCATTCAAATCCTTGTGTGAGGGTCTGCTTCTGGAGGAAACTAAAACTACAGAGTGGGCAAACCACTTAAATTTTCTAGTCTCTGGATTTTGTCTGTTCATTTTTTTTTATCCTGAAAAATGGAGCCATTAATCTCTGGCCATGGCAGGTGCTTATTTGTGAACCCCCAAAAGGAAGGGAAAAATTAGAATGCAGAAGGACCAATGGAACAAAAGGTCTATGGCAGAAGATCTATGTTTAGATTAGGATCCATAAGGACCTCGGAGAGAAGCTCTACAAGGAACAGGCAGATACTTGGGTCCTGGAGCCTGGGGAGAGGAAATGATATGTCCCCCAGGATGCCAGAATTTTGTGCTTGACTTCTGACCAAAAAGTTTAGTGATTTGAACCCACCCAACGGTACCATGGAAGAAAGGTCTGGCAATCTGCTTCTGTGAAGATTACAGCCAAGAAAACCCCATGGAGCACTTCTACTCTGTAACACATGGTGTCCCCAGGAGTCAGAATTGACTTGTAAGCATCTAACAATGACAAGTCAGAAAGCGTTGTTGGTGAGCAGCTGCCTGCAAGTGCTAAAGACCAAAGACAGCTGAACTCAGAAAATACGGCCTCTCTTTTCAATGACTGCATTAAATAAGATTTGCAGTCAACTTTTCAGTTTGCTTGTGTGGACTTGGTTAGAAGCCCTGGTGGCCCAGTGGTGAAACACTCAGCTTCGAACCAAAAGGCCAGCGGTTCGAACCCACCAGCCACTCCACAGGAGAAAGATGTGGCAGTCTGCTTCTGAGTCTGACTTGAGGGCAGTGTGTGGACTTGGTTCAGTATTTTCCCTCAAAGGAGGGTCTCTGGGGTTTTCAGCTGCATAAACCGTGTTTGACTGTCAATTCTTACAAATACATTGATTAAACAAAAATATTCAGACATACCTGCTGAGCAGCTTGGTCCAAATAGGTTATCATCAGCACAGTCTTCACAGGCTGTTCCACCAAATCCTTCCTGAAAAACACCCCAGGGAGAACTACATTACCCAGTTAGGTCTATGAGGTCAGAGGTGATCTGTGTTACCCAGAAGCCCTTGGATTTCTAACTGTTTAATTGCTCTGCTTTTATCAAATGTATCTTCCCCACGGTGTCACTGAAGCTCCTTCTTTCTGGTTCTTCATTTATTCTTCGCTGTGTTTGTGCTACAATACGTACATTAATTCCTAGATCCCTTTTCACTAACAGTCTAGAGCTCTGCAGTGGACAGCTGCTTTGTCAGCTCAAAAATACAGAAAAAAAGCAAGGGATAAGAGACTAGTGGAAGCTTTCCCCAAGGAGGCAGACTCCTTTTTGCATTTCAAAAGGCTTTCTTTGTATTTAGATCATCTAAGACTGTTTCTGGGAGCTCTGGTAGCATAGTGGCTAAGACACTTGCCTGCTAACAAGATGGCTGGCGGTTCAAACCCACCAGCCACTCCACAGGAGAAAGATGTGGCAGTCTGCTTCTGAGTCTGACTTGAGGGCAGTGTGTGGACTTGGTTCAGTATTTTCCCTCA